ATTGTTTATAAATATTTATAGTATTTTAGGATACTAAGACTACTAAATTAAAATAAAGGATTAAAATAAGTGTTAGTTAAATAAGAAGGAAATTTTATTTAAATAAGATTCAAAATTACTGTTTTCACTATTATTTGGTAGCTACTAAATCTTACATAAATTACATAGAATTAGAAATCAGTTCAATGTAGCTAAATGTGTACATCTGTAGTTCTGTTACGAACTATTAATTTATAGCATCAGTAATAATCAACAGGGGATTTTAGTGTTAGATGTGTCTAAAAATTTAATCTATAAAACTGTGAAATCACTTCATTTTGGTTAATCTTACAAATATTGGGTGGCTGCAGATTGCTAATACTATTATTAGTGAATTAAGACTTACATAACCTATCGACAATAAGTGACCACTGGGTATTTTAAGGCTGTCCTTATGCTTGCACACCCACCCGTGGAAGAAGCAAAAATTTTAAATCATCCTTTTTTATTCATGAAATCATAGATTCCCCTCTTAAACTCCTGTAAAGTACTGCTTTCCACTGCTACCGATAGCAGTTCATTTCTTAAGTCAATCAGTTTCTTTACTGGAGCTTAGCCTAGCCTAGTATTTTTCAAAATCAAACTTGTATCCTTTCTTCTCATTATCCTCACAATACAGTACAAACAACAGGTCTTTATCCTATTGATCCCGCATATAATCTTAAAAACTTTTATAACATCATATCTTACCCTAGTTTTCTCAAGAGAAAATATTAAAAGATCTTACCCTATTCCTAAAAGGTAACTCTTTCATCCCCCAGATCATCCTTATAGCCTTTCTCTGCAACCTTCCCAACAAGTCAGTAAGTTTTATTAGATAAGAATACCAAACTACACAGTATTCCAGGTAAGGCCTAACTCGTGTATCTAATAAAAGCAAAAGATGGAGAATCAATAGGATGATAAAGAGCCAGAAGGTCACAGGGAACATCAGTAAAGAAACTTTTTTCTACCTCCTGCAAGGTAGCTGGTCTACACACAAGGGGTCATCACCTGTCAGCAAAAGCCTTGAGATTGTTACCTACTCAACTAATTCTTGATTTCTGAAGAGAGAAATTACCCCTTTAATTTATAATAATTATGTTTATAAATACACCTTAAAATTCTATTGGTTTCATTGTTAGCAACAGATCATTGCTTCAATGGCTTGCATGGCTTATCCACCATTATGTACAGATTATTTTCTTCGGTCACATTATCAATTTGGTTTCAATCTATATTAATGTGTAATTCAACTTATGATAACCCATGTGCATTACTTTATATTTACTATAATTAAATGATCATTTACCAAATATTTGTATACCTTACCCATAGATCCAAGTAATTCTGCAACATGTTTAGATATTCAACACAGACAGAATTACCACAGAGTTTAATGTCAATGGCAAAATGTCCCTTCAGTAAACCCATGCTGGTTTTCATTTACACCGTTACATTGCACTAAATGATTTTGTAAAGCATCTTTCATCAGACTATAATTTTCCAACTACAGAAGTAAGACTAACTTTCCTATAATTTGCAGGGCAATTCTGACCCTCCCCTTTAAAATTAGAACATAACTTTCCAATCCTCAGCCATTTGCCCACTCTCTATCCACCAACCAAAAATATGAAATTGCAAATCCCAAGCAGTGACCCATGAGGCAATCCACTAATAACTAGTTGTCTGATCCAAATACTCTACAAATTAATAGTCTTTCCACAACCTCCTCCAATGTGACTTTCTTAACTAATATTTTGTGTGACATCTCATCAAAAGCTTTTTCAAAACATAGATGCATCAGTCTACACTCTTTCCATTAACCAGTTAATAAACAACATTCAAATAAAAAGTTTCAACATGGATTCACTATAGAGAAAACTGCCCAAACTAATCTCTAACATTTACCATGAATGTTGTTTATTAACTATGTTGTTTATGATCAAAGTTCACTTGATGCTTTTGTGAAGTTTATTTCATCAAACTCTAGTTTTCCCACTACAGAAATAAGCCTAACTAACCTATAATTTCCAGGACAACTCTTTATCAGCCTCTTTAAATATATGATTAACATTAACAACTCTCCAAACTTCAAACACTTGCCTACTATCTATTGACCTACCAAAAAGTAAATAAAAGACAGGCATATGAGTTTGTAGTTAAATACAAAGCTACAAAACGAGTTATTTGTGCTACGTCCACCACAGGTATTGAAACTCGGCAATTAGCATTATAAGCCTTCTGACTTACCACTATCTTACTAAAGGGCAGGCACACAAGTTTCTCTAATTGTACTAAGAATGTTAAGGTACTACAGAACAACTTGGATCAAATGTCTGTTAGACAAATATTTGGCAAATCATGTTTAACCTATTCATTGTGGCTGGGACATATTTCCCAGTGCTCCCACCCCCTCACACGACAACTGGGACAAATTTTTCCCATTGTTGATGCTGTTTACACCTTCTTCTGCTGGGTCCGGGTTCATCGTCTTGGCTAGCATCATTAGATGGAAAGCTAGCATCCTCTTGTCTCATTGACTATTCATCATCACACATTTGAACATCACTTGACTTACTTTCACTATCTTCTAAGCTGAGTCAAGTGCATCAAGCATATTTATATAGTAATTAGAGTTACTACTCACCATTATAGCAATGCAGGCACGGTCGGCATGCAGTTGTTGTACATTCCGTTTTGGCATCTTGTTGTTTACTGAAGGGCTGAGTGGAAAACACTGAGGGAAACCATATATCAACATTAGATGGGATGTCAAGAAACATTCTCCAGTTCATTTTACTTCCATATGTCATGAGCTGCAATTGTGAATGACAATGGGAAACATTTGTCCCAGTCACAGTATGAGAGGGTGGAAACACTGAGAAACGTACGTTGCAGCCACAGTGAAAGGATTAATTACAGTAAATGCAAAGTAATGTATTTGAATTATCATTTTTTTATATCATAAATTTGATATAGATTGGAGTCCACTCATATATATAATTGTGTTACTGAAGAAAAAGATTTTGGCAAAGTAATTGATAAATCACTTAAGCCATCAAATCAGTGCTCTGGTGCTAGTACTAAAACTAATAGAATTTTGGGGTGTATTTGTAAACATATCAATAACCAATCAAAAGTAGTAATTATACATGTCAAAAGAGGTAATTATCTCTTTATACAAGTCATTACTTAGGCCTCACTTGGAATACTGCAAAAATGTTTTAAAGAAAGGATACTGAACTTATTGGAAAGAGTTTAGAGGTGGGATACTGAGATGATTACAAGACTAGAATGGTTATCTTATGTGGATAGGTTAAAATCTCTTTTCTCTTGAGTGAAGAAGAATAAGAAGTGACCTTAGTGAGGTTTACAAGATTATTCAGATGTATTATGGATGATGTTGTAATGTCGAAACATGTAGAGTCATCAACTTTTTGAGGGCCATACATAGGCCTAAATAAAATGTTTTTAATTGTGTACCAGTTTAACGTTGAAAATTATTTATGATTTTAGACTGGTTGAATTATGGAATTAGTTGCCATCAGCAGTAGTGAAGGCCAGCATTTTAAAAGAACTTAAAAGGGGAAATCATAATTTTCTAAAAAATAAAGGGTTGGTTTAGATTTTTACTTTTCTCAAGGGTGGATGTGTTGGGACAGATTTGAAGTACCAAATGATGCCTCATTGTCTGCATGTTATAGTATGTATGTGACATATGGTGACTGCCAGTTTGTCCACAACTTCTGACCCTACTATTAAAAAAAACATACTACAACTTCAAGTTACAAGTAAAGATTGATAGAATGTGAAACAAAAACTTAAAATAGTTTCTTCACAGACAAAGGCTTATTACATTTGTTAACACTACATTCTTTTGTCTGTTATGATCTTTTAAGAAGAGTAAGTGTATTATAGCACTTCAACCACAGTATATCTGCCACATCCACTGCCAAAGATGTTTTACTCAATGCAGAGCTTATCTGGCCAGCTGGAACAGAACAAACACAATAGCAGTTGGAACACTATTTATATAAGGGTGGATTTGATTATTATTTTTATTGGGTATGGAGACAACCTTGAAGGATCAAGTGGCTGACCATTGTCCATGTTATGTTATATAAATTAATAGTGGAGGTTCCAAAAATTCAAATTTACAAACAACCATGTAGCCACCTAATAAGATCAGAATAGATTTTACAGAGCTTAACAATAATCCAAGAGTTTAGTCACAGAGTGATACTTCTAATAATAGTGGAGATTAAAAACAACTATAAACTTTCATAATGAAAAAACTGAATGAATAGTAAAAAAATAATTCTGATGATGGGTTAAGAAATGGCATAAATGTATCAAGAACTAGTTTTCATAATGTTATCCTCAACATGCACTGTCTTCCTGGAAACACTGAATACTATGCCTAGAACTGCTTTAAATTTTAATTAGTCACAACTGCTAATTTTCCCTCCCACCTCAAAAATAAACTATGTATAAGATACAAACACTTATGCCAAGTACTTTACACTTTCAACTTCAATTTTTAGTACATATCTAAACTAAAGCTTACAAAACAAAGCTCTCTTATTCACACATAAACTACAATAGTACAAAATACTTTATTCTTTTCATTCCTAATCAAAACTAGAAGCCATTTGATCCATCTACGCTATTCTTTGCATTGCTACTACTATTCTACTTCTAGTTCTACCACACATTACAGAAAACTCACAATATAAATATATATACAACTTTTCACAAAATAAGTCTCGCTCTGCAATAAATTAAAAATAATTTATGAACACAACAGTTGAAGCTAAAGTTTAAACTGTTCGTACTATCAGTATCATATTAATTATTATAATTACATTTACAGTTCATGCGTTTTTCATAATATTAATAACTTGTTGCCAAAGGTAATCCATACTATGCCATGACTCCATTTAATAATTAATAGGTTTGTGGTTTAAAATCCAAATCACCTTGATCAGCCGATAGTGTATTATTGACACTTTGTTGTTCACTGCCCTCTCCCTCGTCCCCGTGATTGATGGAAGTTTCGTTTTCCCCATCAACGGTCAACTTCACTCCAGTAAACATTGCTTCAGTTTCTTCTGTACTTCGTTGTTGACTAGCAGTGGCACTGTTACTCATGTTAGTCTTTGGCAAAATGTTAATAACTGTTAAATTTCTCAAGCTGTTTAATCGTTTAGAACTTTAAGAAAAGTACCTAACATACGTTAAAATTAGATGTAAATTGGTACTACTGACATAGGAATATGACACGACTAAAATATACTCTTTACAAATAAACGTAAGTCATATGCTACAGCTTTCCTATGTTGATTGGTGATTACTAATCCGACGCTTAGAACGTCACATCCAAAAACGAATTCTGGAGCATGTTTCTACCACTGGACCATAGGAATAATGTGGAACGAAAATAATCAGGAATAAAATTCACTGATTTCTGATAATATTGAGAGATTATTGGTCAGTGACATATGATTTAAAAGCAATTTTATTCTTCTTGTAGTTTTTGTGAGGAAGACCAAAAACACTTCTATAGTTCTATTAAACCTTAATTTTTATTCGTATCGTTGCAACGTTATTCTTTCGTTGTGTTACGTCTCCGTTTGTTAATTAATTTTCCGTAACTTCGTTCCGACGAAACTTTAGCGACACAAGTCCTTACTTAATAAAATTGGTTTATTCTTTCTGAATATAACTTAACGATACACTTATTTTCAACAATCGCGCTAAAACAAACGCTATATCAACGAACGTCAACAATACTTCTGACTGCAGTTCAATCACTCACTATCTTCACACACATTACATTCCCGTCACGTTGTCACCCTCTTTTATATAACAGACTACCCAATATCTAGTAAACGCTAGAGCATTCGCCAAGGTACAGGATAGTTCTAGAAACGTGGCGTCACACTAGTCATGTGACTTCGCTTACGCAACATTGCCCCTTCCTTTGTATTGTTCGTCCCGAACAATAACCACATACAATAAACCAATAACAATTAACAATAACTTAATTAACTGTACAAAA